CACAAGTACGCATGCTAATGTTTTAGCATGCTCTGCAGCCTCTTGCACAATTGGCATCACACCGTACATTCAGTTTGCAGCTTGCTTTCTCACTCAATGCATTATGCAGCTGCACATTTAGCTGCTTTTTTTCCTGTGATAACGAAGAATGGTTCAGTGAATCTCCTTGGATGTGATTTTGGGTCGACATTTCTCAATATTTCCTTAACGTAGATTCCTAGAAGTGGGATTTCTAGATCAAAAGATATAAATGAACATCACAGCATTTCAACAAAGATTTTCTAGGTTGCCTGGAAAATGCACCGAGGTGTTTACTGGCTGTGCACGGCTGTTTCTGGAAAGGAAAAACACCTGCTGCCAGCTTTTCTCATGCCAGCACTTTTTTTCTTGGTGGTCTAGTCATGGGTTCGATGCTTCCTCTGGAGAACAGGTAATTGAATGATGGGACCCACACTGTCCAGCTTCCTTTGTCTCCTCAAAACTCCTCTTCGGCACCCTGCTTTGTGCCTACATGGCCGATCTTCATGAACCATGTCAGCAGGCCCCTTTATTCTGTGCATTCTTGTAGGCTCAACCCACAAGACTCTGGCTGCCACCGGAGGCAGGGAGGTCAAAGAAGTTGGATCTTTATCCCCTAAACTGCTCCTTCAAGAACTGCTGTGGGGGCGGTTGCATCCTTTTTTCTCTTATCTGCATTTTTTAAAAACTGAGATTTTTATACACACACACACATACATATATACATATGTAACACAACATTTACTATTTCAGCCATTTCAGGTGTACAGTGTAGTGGTGCTAAGTACATGTACAACGTGCCGCCATCGCTACTACCTATTTTAAGAACTTTCATCATCCCAAACAGAAATTCCATGCCCACTAAACAATATCTCTTTGCTACTTCACCCCATAGCCAGCCCCCTGTATCCTCTATTCTACTTTCTGTATCAATGAATTTTGCCCATTCTAGTACCTCCTAGAACAGGAATCATATAATATTTGTCCTTTGACTGGCTTATTTCACTTTAAAAAATGTTTTCAAGGTTCATTCATGTTGTAGCATGTATCAGAATTTCATTCCTTTTTAAGGCTGAATAATATTCCATTGTGTGTATATACCACTTTTTTTATCTACTCATCTGTTGATGGGCATTTGGCTTGTGTCCACCTTTGGCTATGGTGAATAACGTTGCTGTGCAATGGCTACATCCTCTTTCAAGGCCATAGATTCTGTCAGGGGCCTTTTTCATCAGGCTACCCTTCCTTTATTTCAATAACCTCTCCTTTTTCTGGCCTTTTGGACTTAGGGTGGTAGGGACTCCCTACCATTGCGAGAGTTGGGGTCCTGCACCATCCCTTGTGGGTTTTCCTACAACCTATCCATGCTTTTGCAACCCTTCTCTCTATTAATCCTTCTCTGAACTACCCCGTTTGAGTGTGCTAACTGTTCCTTGCTGGCATTTTGACATCCACTGAACTTCCGCTGTAAACCATCTCCACTTTACACCTGAAACAACCAAATACTTTGCAAAGAGTACCTGGGCACATTACCCATGCATCCCTTTGGTAGATACTGACAAGTCTAAAAATTAAAAATAATACAAGCTCCACTTCAGTTAAAAACCAAAATATCTATCGTGATGACCTGAACATTCTTCATATCAAAGAAGTTTCCAAATGATTCTAATGCTGTCAGTCCAAGGCCTTCCATGAGCCCCTGGCACTGGGGCTCTTGCTTGTGGCCTTGAACCAAGGTGCAGTTCTAGGTCTGCTTTCAGAATTAGGCCAACATTTCTGAACCAAAATAACCAAAGTACATTGAAATGAAAGTATGTGAAAATTAATCATATTTCATTCACATACATTTTCTAAATTAATTTTGTTTCATACTGGGTTGACTTCCAAATGATCAGGCTTTTAGGAAGGAAGAACAAAGAATGGTTTTTATACCCAGAAATTGTCTTCTAAGCTGCCAACATACTGTCCATTTTTCTCTAGGCACTGTCTTAACTACGTACTAATTCTTTATGTTCAAGATTCTGTAGAAATAATAAAAGGCCACGCTTGAGAAGCTGCCAGCATGCAACCTTCAGACTTCTAAAAGTTTCTTCATTAACAACACTTCATATAGCAAATTTCCTGAGGAATACAAATACAGCTGTGCCCAGGTGGAATTTCAGAAGTCACAGGAGACACGCAGCAACTGGATCACCCATCCCTCCTCACAAACAATGGCTGCAAGTTTAAATGGTTCTCAGAGGTAAGTACGGGGCTGAAAGGGAAGGTAGAAAAACAGGCTTTATCTACCTCAATATTATGCCAAAGGTTAACTATGAATTCAAAGTATTAAATAAATTATTATAATACCCTTTGCATATTACCTCATTTTTATTCTCAGTCCTGTGAGGTGGTAGTTTCTGGCAATTCATTTAACTTCTCTGACCTTCAACTTCTTCATCTGCAAAAAAAGAGAAAGAGAAAGAGAAAAAATATTTTGCTGTATTGAAAAGCATCTAAGCTCTCAACAAATTAAAAATGCAGGAAAGATCAAGTTAAGGAACATGTATAAAAGACCCATGGACAAGGACAATGTAGGGAAGGATTGAATGTGGTCAGGGTGCAGGGCAAGGGAGAGCAATGGGGGTGAAATGGGGACAACTGTAATTGAACAACAATAAAAAAATTTTTTTAATTCTTTGGTTCATGAATTCCATATTACAAATGAGAAAACAAGGAGTCTAAATGACAACTCTACATTCAAATGACTACACAATAGCAGGATAAAGCTTCAAATCCAGACCTTCTGGTTCTTAGCTTAGTAGATAGAAGGTTATGAGAAACTTAATTAGCAATAAAACAAAACAAAAGAGAGAGAGAGAAAGCAAGCAAATAAGAATGGATGATGTGAATACTACTAGACATCTGCCTTCACTGTTGAAACTGGACAGGAGTGTGGTGTCCGTGGTTAGAGCAACCAGTCCACCCGAAGGTTTTTTTAAAATCTGCAAAAACTGTGAAATGAGCTGGATGGGAGTTAAGAGCAAGAGGTGCTAACAACAGCGAAGAGGCCCTTGTCTGGTTCACTGCAGTGCTCACCTCAGGTCAGGATTTAAAAATAACCCGTGGCTTTGCATTTAGCCGGGGCAGCCAAGAGGCCAGATGTGAACGAACACTTCACAGGGTTCAAAGGGGTCCCTTCGGGGCTGAGGAATTTTTGCAAACTTATCCACCAACCTCTTTTGCCCCTTCATCTTTAAAGATAAGTTGAATTATTGTTTATTTCTTGCTTCTTAATTCAGAAAATCAATAACCTTCATTTTCCAAGCATCCTTTTAGATTCTTCCAGAGCCTACCTTATACTCAACTGCTTTCATAGTAGCCCAGACTTTAAACTCTTTGGTAAATTTGAGCTTTTAATGTTTAATATTTCAACATAACATTGGGAACCTCGTATTTGTCTTTGAAAAAACTTGGCCCTAAAACACCATAATCACAATAGCAAGTTGCTGTTTTGAATCAGACGTGGTTCAAAAAATAGATTAACTTTGTTTTTAGCACATAACATAAACTTGCGTTTACTTCAAAATCAGAAATAGGTTTCAACAGGGGCAGAAGGGCGGACCTCTCTTTGTCCTCGAGCAGTGGTTTAAGAAAGTGCACGGCAGACTGTCCTCAAAGCCAAAACCACGCTTTCACTTCTTGGGTGTGCGCAGCCTTCAACCAGCAGCACTGAAATGTCACTACATCTGAAATAATTTTCTAACACGCCACGCCCTAGCCTTGAGTTAACGGCTGGAGTCATTGGCACAGGCGGAAATCAGACGCCAGTTTTTGGCAGCGGGGAACAGATAAAATAAAGCACATAGGCCCAGGGCCGCTTCCTGGAAGCCAGGTGTTAACTTCACTTCAGTGTCATGGTCAGGTTCATTGCTAAGTGTGGTCAGTTAATTAGATACCATTGCAAGTCCACAGAGGCCACAGCGTTTTCACGTTGCAATGAATACACTTAACAAGAAATAAATATTCCTTACACCCCTCAGGAAATTCAGTTCCTTTTGTCTGGTTCACTTCTTTAATGGTTATAGCAATGAGTCCATGGCTAACAGAGATAAGAGACTCTCCACTTCATTGTAGAGAGAAAAGGGGACACTCCCCTCTTTTGCTCCTGGCCCTACAGAGCACAGGGTGTGATACCAGGTTCAGTGTGTTATATTAGGATGTAGGGGTCTTGTTGAGATCTTGGCAGAAGACCACATCCACGTGGGTGGAGGGAGGAAATCCCCATTTGGTGGGGGAGGGTCTGTGTGTGTGGTTACTCTCAGGGAAGGAGGCTGGACCTCCATAGGGAAGTGGGAGGGCAGAGCAGGCAGACAGGAAGGGCAACCCCTTCTCCTCATGGTCTCCTCATGCATTTGGAGGAGACAGAACTTTCTGGCCCTTTCCCTGTGGGGGGAGGGACCAAGACAGCCTCCACTGTGGAGACAGCCTGGGAACAAGATAAGGAGGTGAGGCACATCCCAGGAGCCAGGTGGGCGTTGTGGCCCATTGTCATTCTCCGCAGTTCTTGTTGAGGATTGCTTCATGAACGCCAGCCTCGTCGTGCTTGTGCTGTGGAGAATTAGAGTTGTGAGTCTTTGCCTGGGTCAGAGCATGAGGGGGAGGAGCTCCAGCCTCAGGTGGGAGAGTCCCAAAGGGAAGGTGAGCACCAGCAAGCAGAGGGTGGCACCTGGCTGCCAGGCTGGTGGTGCTTTTCCCTCTGTTGCCAACTATGGAGGCAGTTCGCACAGTTATGCAAAGTAGTTAGTCCTGAGCCAGACTTTGTGGGCTTCTGTCTCAGTCCTGTCTGTCACTTATTCATTGTTGACCTGGGGCAAGTTAGCCTCCCAGGGCCTCAATGTCATTGTCTGTGAAAGGGGGACAGTAACCGGTCGGTTGTGAGGAATAAATGAGTTCATTTGGTAATATGTGAAGGCTACATGTGTGTCAGCTTTTGTCTTAGGATGAAGGATGCTGTTGGATTTCCTTACCAGAGTCTTAGGATCACTGGTGAAATGGGCGAGCAGCTGTGTAAGGCAAGGCCAAGGAGAAAAAGAAGGCTGGAAGAGGATCAGAGAAAAGGACGATTTGGCCACCACGCGGCAAAGGGCAAGGGTGAGCTTTCAGCTTGGACTTGGGACTGACTCCCTGATGGCAACAGAAGGAGTGGATTCTAATGAACTGACCCCAGCATGGAATGAAAATGTTTTACAATACAGGGACCTGGAGCACAGACTCTAAGGGTATATGGTGCAGCAACTCACGGAGCTGCTGATGAAAACTTTTAATCATCAGGGGAGCCTGTTTGGCTCTCGTCTGGTGTTTTTGCCTTCTGACATGCAAGGTCAGCTGGTCCCCCACTGAATTAGTTTCCTGGGTACCATAGCGAATTGCCACAAAAAGAGTGGGCCCAACAACAGAGATTTATTCTTTGGCAGTCCTGGAGGCTGGAAGTCTAGAATCAAGGAGCTGTCAGGGTTCCTTCTGCAGGCAAAGTTAGGGTTCACGATGAGCTTGATGGTTACGCAGACCTTCAGCAGTCAGACCCTCCGGGGACTAATGCTGGGGTGGGGCACCTTTGGCCAGCTTTGGTTTTGCACAGAATAGCCCCAGGGCAAACGCTGGAGGGAAGGGTTGCCTAGAGCACAGGGTTCACAGCTGTTTGTGCTACCTCTTTCCACACTAAACTGCTAAGCCTCAATCTGAGACTTGTCCAGGCTCCTCAGGGCACAGCTGGCCACAGGGAAGGGCAGGGAGCCCTGCGCAGGTCCTTTGCCCATAGAAAGAGCCAGTGCTTCTGACGGCTGCCCCAAGGTGCCGGCTCCCGTCCTGAAGGATGGTCTGTTATTAGATGGAACCAAAGATGACATTCCAAGCCACTTTCTTTCCCAATGAGCCAAAGCAAATCAACGGCCCTCGCTTTCATCTGGCCGGGTATTTTCTTCACACAGCAGCACTTAGCAACAGCCTCATCCCTCCTGATTAGTGCTGCCATTAGAGAAATGATTGCTCAGCACAGTGAGTCATCTCAGATCCTGACAACTGTAACCATTCCAGATGGTGAGAACATCAGCGACCATAATGGCCCTTCCTGTCAGCGCTGGCTGCAGATTGTTCTCGGAACCGCAGGGGACAGACACAAGCTTGTAGCCTGGAGAGATTCACAAGGTGTGGCTGCAAAGGAATGACCCGATTGCCACAAGCCTCGTGTGGGAATCAGTTGCTTTCCTTCAGAGTCACCACTTTCACGAGGCGCAAAAGCACAGCCGTGAGAAGCAAGGAACAAAAGGACTCACGTCACCCAGCAAAACGCCCAGCAAGAAATAAGGAGTTCAGGCGGTTCTGGGACCGTGCTGCCATCGTGAGGCTCGCTGGGTTCTTTTATACTGTCACCTAGAGGGACCGTGGGCCCCAGAGCAAAAGACAGGCATCTGACATGCATGTCTTCCCGTGTGAAGGAAAAGAAGCCATCTGCAGTTGCTCATGCAGACAGCAAAAGGCACAACTTCTTGGCAGTTCCAGTTCTCGGGGAAAAATATGCTAAGTTAGAGGAGACTGAAGTCAGTGTTTAGAATGTGTGCAGACGACTTTATATAGCTGGTTAAGTTAAGCTGTTTCCCCCACGCCCACCCAAATATCCTGTTTCTTTGGAGAGCTGTACTAAGCCCTGCTAATTTTATTTTTACCAACTTTCAAGCTTACGTGATTAAAAAAAAAATAGTACCAGGCGAAGCCTCATCATCATTATGGCAAAGAGATGCGCTCATTTCCCAATTGGTTGTTTAACGTTAATGGTAAATCAACTGAGCAACCACTAAAAAGATGATGCACAGACTTAATTCCGAGTTGTTACAGAACTCAGCAGCTGAGTTAAGATATACGTGGCGATGTTGGCAGACGCTCCTTTTGGTAATAATATTCATTTTTATGAATGGCTCATTTATTTTTTATATGTTCCTCTCTAGCCCTTCCTGCATTTCTCCCCTCTGCACTGAGCCGGGCTCCGGGGACTCAGAAGGTGGAAGAGAAAGCCGGGTTCTGTCTTTTAATGGAGAGAGTGAGCAGGCTGCTGCTTACAACGGCTCCAGAGCAGTGAAAGATGAGGAGGAAAGAAATCAGGAACACGAATCAGGGGCAGTCACTGGCTTCAGAAGCGTCAGTTGGCTGGTTATTTACTGAGTCTACACCCTGTGTATCTCCGTAGGTGTGTTTGTTCCAAATCCAGGCAGTGACTCATCGTGAAAGCAATTCTCTGCCTTCCACTCACCTCCTGCAGGAGGAAACTTTATATGCATGAGGCGTTTTATCTTTTTCATCTAATTACTTGGGGAATAAGAGGAGTATAGTTCGTTGGGGGTGGAAAAAGTACAACCCACAAAGGAAAATGCTCTAGACCTGCATCTTGAAAATTAGGGGGCAGGGGGAGGGGGCTCATGGTGGCCCCTGCTTCTCCGGGAGTGAGCAGGGCCCAGGAGGGGCGGTCTTCCCTGCTGAGCCCTTCCTGTGTTTTCTGGGCCTGCCCAGCGCTCTGGTCTCCCAAGGTTTTTCTGAATATTGACTGTGCTCCCTTCTGCTCCAGAGCACTCACTCCTCTTCGTTTGGCTACCATTCTGCGCAGCCCTCCCCTTGAGGAACGAAGAGGCCAGTGGGAGGGCTGGAAGAGGGGTGGCTCTTCGGGGTTGCAAGCCTTAGCCCAGGGGGAGCTGAGCCTCTGCGAAACATACAAGAGGCACTAGGGCCAAGCGGTTAAGAACTTGGGCTGCAGAGTCTGACTGCTCACTAGACACATCCCCCGCCCCCCCAACCCCCCCAACCCCCCCCAACTTCCTTAACCTCTTTGTGCCTCGGTTTCTGGGAAATCGGTACCACCAAACAACTCTCTCTGAGGTTTAAATGAGTTAGTGCAGGTAAGTTACTTGGGACCTTGCCTGGCACAAAGGAAATTTTAGCCGTTGACCGTGCTAAGCAGCCCCTGATATAAATGCCAAACCAATTGTACGTGCCTCCCCCACCTAAATTATCAATAATCAGACTTGGTCAGGGGACATCAAGGATCTCCCTCTCCCGCCCTCAGATCCATGATGAGGAAAGAGGTCTTTGGAGGTAATTTCGCCTGGGTGCTGAGGCAGAAATGTTTGAGGTCTCCCAGAGGTGGGGACTAAGAAGCCCTCCTCGTCCAGGCCCCAGCAGCGGCCATCCTGGCTCCCTTATGTGGGCATCTCATCCAGTCCCGCAGCCTCACCGGGCACTGCTCAGGGGCAGCTGAAAATCCCAGTCGGTCGAAGAAGACGCTGCCGAGGGCGGGCTCCCACACTGCAGGCGATAAAGCACTCATTCCTCGGGAGCAGCTGGGCAACACAGGAGGCGGCCTCGAATCAGACGTCCCCAGTGTGCGGTACAAATGGGAGCACCCGGGGTCCAGGCAGAAGAGGTCAGCAGCGCCAAGAGCCCAGCCCTGGGAACCACAGCATTTTCCTTCGGATGTCTTTTCTCAGGGGTAAGAAGGTTCTCTTTTATTCTTTTATTCCTCTTTCTCCTCCTTCTTTGAGAACATAATTGCAATATGCTTCAGAGGAAGACTCAGCATTTGCAGCTGGTTAAGAGTTTGCAGTGAATGTCTGAGTGGAGCCCTCAGACTCCCTGTTTGAGAGGGATCTGGGGTGCACATCAAAACTGCTTCGCCCAGACCGAACCCTCTTTCATGTGGTGACCCAGGGCTTTTAATTGTTAAGAGGCTACGCAGATGCTTTCCCCACGTACTTGGTGTGAAAACTGTTGACTTGGAGATGGTTGAATCTAGTGTCTTTATTTTACAGATGGTGAAACTGAGACCCAGAGAAGTGAAGCTGTTACAGGACAGAGGTCCAAGGTGAGGGACACTATTTGGCCCATCCAGGGATGCCAAAAACTGTTACAGAACAACAGGGCCCCCCCCACAAGGATGGTATACTGATACTGTCCGGACCACCTGCTGGGTTCATCTGTCTGCCACCAGAGGAAAGACATCTCTCAATGCCAGAGATTTGTGAAAAGGTTTATTTAAAACTATACAGACTTGAATTAGTGACCCAACGTCCCCATTAAAATATCAAAGTCTTTTTGGATACCCACAGACGCCCACAGTGCTTCCTTCCCCATTGCCCTATTTTGAGGTACTGTATGTCAGGAAAAGAAGCACACGTCTGTGTTACAGGCCACTGGCACCATCAGCTGTGTCGCTGTCCAGTTGGGATCTCTAATTACTCCAAAGCCATGTGGCACCTTCTCATGGCCTACTGGCAAAGAGTTCTTTCACCCTTCTTCCAGGCAAAGTCTCTCCTGCTTCCCAGGCCACAAGGCCAAAGGGAGCACCCTAAAGCTGTGTGAGCCTCTTCTACCAGAGCCACGTGGTCCACTTCTACCAGGTCCCCACTCTGGCAAAGCCGCATGGTACTCTCAATGGTTGCCATGTCTGGGTTTTACATCCATGCACCAGTCCTCCTTTGCAGCCCCATTTCCAACTCCTCCTACAATCGGCTACACTTGCCAGCATTCCTGTATTATTCCAAGTTTACTGGGCTGCCATCATGAGTCTGGGCAGGTGTGGCCCCATGTTGTGGGGCCAATCATCTCCAAGCTGTCATGCAGGTGCTGTAATGGGAGCTGGGAGTTGCCTCCCAGTTACGTCTTGGATGGAAGTCACTCCCTTCTCCCTGGCTCAAAGCATGGCCACAGCTATGTAACATATCTATGAAATCAGTTAAAGGTTATAGATATGTTAAATGACCATTCTAGAGGTTATCTGCAAAACTGTTGCTATGCAAAACAACTCTCAATGGCCCCTCTCCATTTGTCCCTTTCCCCCAGCTGACACCTGGGGGTGGGTGGGTGAGGACACCTTAATATTTCCTGGACACCTTGAGTTCTGGACCCCATTCCAAATCCCTTTTTGGGCCCCCTCTCCTGGCTGCACCCTGTTACAAAGCAACTTTTCCCAAGTTATCTAGCTGGTTGGTGGTAGAAGCAGAGCGCCTCAGGAGAGGAAATGCAAGAGTTTTCTTACTGCAGAGAGACCTTTCCAAGCCAGCCAATACTGAGTCCTGTTTCCTCTTCAGCTGGTGTCTAGTTCTGGCCTCAGTGCCACATTGTACAACAGACATAAACTCTGCATTTCCAAATAAAACTAGCATCTGGCCTATGCCCAATGAAAATAAATTAATTTTAATGAGAATCTTGCTTATAGAACTTACAGATTTTGCATGTTTCATTGGTAATTTAGTGATATTTCACTTTGAGTATTGATATTAAATTGACAAAAAAAAATTTAAGACAGGAAAGAAAGGCCAGAAATATAACTATTTCCCAGCCTTTAAATTCCACAGTTACTAATAAAACACAAAACTATGCTAACTAGCAAAGGTTACATAATGCTAGTTGGGGAAATGTCAGCAATAAAGGGGGAAGGGAGAAAAATATTGCAGAACAGCTATTTGTGTCTCACCTCGAAATAGGGATTGTCTTGGAAAATGCTGTAACTCAGCCATTTGTCATCACATTGTAAGTGACTCAAGGCCAGAGTCTGCCTATTGTCTTTTTAAACTACTGTACAACACTAAGCTCGGTTTTACACAAACAATCAAAATATGTCACCTGGTAAAGAGGAGAGGAAGTAGAGAAAGTGAACTAATGAGAGAGGGGACATGTGAGGGTGAGAAAGGAAAAATGGAATTAAAAAATGGCAGGGGATGGTCTAGCTAGTCCTTCACGGACTTGGTGTGGTGACAAGGGGACCAGGTGTCACACAGAGTGGCCTGGTCTGGCGGACAGGCCACAATGAGTCCAAGGAAGCACATGGGCTAGTCGGGAAAATGCAAGAAGCTGGAGTGATAGACTTGAAAGCTGGGGCATACGAAGAAGCTGCCTATCCAACTTTATATCTTTTAGCAAACAAACAGCTAAGCCATCTGAGATGGAAAGCTGTCTGTTCTAATTTCATTCATTATGTTTTGTTGGTTCACCAGTTCATACAGTAGTAATTCCAAAAATGTTTTCTGTTTTCTAAGAACAGCAATATAATAATGGCAACCATCTGTGGAGTACCTACTCTGTGCCATTACTCCATCACACAGATGACGAGCTGAGGTTCAGGGAAGCTGGGTAACTTGCCCAAGGTCACACAGCTAGGATGCAGATCGGGGTCTGCTCTATGCCAGCCTGTCCTTTGAATCACCATCATGTTGCAGTAAGTCAGCCCTTATTCAAGCATGTCCAGACAGGGCTGATGGACACCCCTCCACACCGTAGTCCCATCACTTCATCCAGGAAATCTGCTTCTGGCCCTGCTCTGCCACCCATTTGTTGCGTGACATTGGCCATCTCTCTTCTGGGTCAAGTCTCTTCATCAGCAAAATACAGCAAACGGACAAGGTGGTTACTGGAATTCCTTGCGACTTTAACATTCCCCATATCTGTTACTGGGTACTCATTCCTCACACTTGGGGGAACATTAATGAAACTTCACATTTCTCTCATGACCTCATTGAGGTTGTTGCTTCCTGTGGTGGAACCAGCCATTGCTCACTTGATATACACTATCCTTAGTACGAGAATCTTTGACTTTTCTCCAAGGCAGCAATGCACCTTTTTTTTCTTGAAAAAGGCTACATTTTCTGGTTTTTCCTTAAAGCAAGAGGCACTCCTTTCTAAGTTTTAGCCAATGACATCAGTGAAGCAGATCAGGTTTCCAGGGACTCCATTTCTTCCTTCCTGCCCCTTCTTCCTTCCTGCTTCCAGAAAGACAGTTTTGATGACCAGCCCGGCAGCCATCTGGGGCCAAAAGTGACTTTGAGGAAGAATCCACAAGCTGAGAAGAACACGGTGGTGCAGAAGAACCTGCTCTCAGGTGACAATGGAGCCCCCACCCCGGTCTTGAACTTCCTGCCTCCAACCTTCTTTTAGGTGAAAGAGAGCGGGAGGGGGAAGACCTTTCGAATCCAAGCCTACGTGTTTTTTTTTTTAATGCTACATTCAGGCAAATCAATTCTCACTGATATTAACCTACAAACCCGTCACCATTTCTTTAGCTGTAATGTTTCCCTTCAATTATAGTGTTAAATTTGCCACAAACTGCTGGGCAAATTGATGACCTGCTGGCCCCTGCCACTCAGTACAGACGACATAGTAGATTCATAATCATCCTAGAAAACCATTTCACCTATATTCCCTGGTGCCCTAAATGACAACATCACTTTTCTGTTGCTAGTGTTTAAAAGCCTGGGGTTAATTTTCATTCCTCGTATTCCATCAGTTACCAATCCTACAGGTTCGCCATCCATTGATCTAATATTTTGAGGGCATGTTATCTCAAAACTTGGTGCTGAGGCTACAAGGGTAAGCCAAACAGATGTCTCTCTGTTCTCCTGATGCTTACAATCCAGGGCAGGCATTTACCTGTTCTCATGATGCTTATAATCAAGACCGGCATTAGCTGAATAATCACACAAACACATAGAAAATTGCAACGGTAGCAAGTGCGGCAAAGGAAAGAAAACATGGACATGTGATGGGGGCTGGGGAGGGCTTTGACTGAGCTGAAACCCGACAGATGAGTGGGGCCTAACGTGGCAAAACATGGGAGGGGCGTGGGGTGGCAGGGCAGCATCGCAGGTGGAAGAACCAGTGTGTGAGAAGCCCAAGAAGGAAGGGGAAGGATCTGTTCCATGAAAAAAGGCTGTTGGCTAAAGCACTAGATTCAGACCTTGTTAAGGACTTTCAGCTTCATTTTAAGATCAATGGGAAGCAAGACGAAGGGTTTTAAGCGGCAGTGAAAGGGTTCGCAGTGACCTGATCACATTTGCGGTGTGTCTCCCTATTTCTTTTCTCTCCTTAATTCCCTCTGCTGTTCTCTTGTTTCCCTATCACCTGCTTCTCTTCCTGTAACTCACCCTGCACGTGCTGGGGATCACTCTTACAAATCCTATTTTCGAACGTCTTCAAGAGCTCCTCATTTCCTGAGACCTGAAACCCAACTTCCCAAGCCAGAGTTCAAGGCGGCTGGCCTCCTGGGCAGCCTTCATCACCAGCCACTCTCCCTCACATACCCTGGGCTCTAGCCGTGTTGTACTGAACTAACTATGCTTCGTACTTTCCTCATGCTCCTGCTACATCTGGATCTGGGATGTCACCCTCTTGGTCTGCCACCACTTGTCAAAAGGTCCTGTCCTTTACGACTCTGCTCCAAGTCCTCTCTCCCTGAGATCTTGCCTGCTCCCTGCAACCCATTCATCTTCCTTTCTCTGTGTCCCTGAGCCCTATAACTAATCCTCACCAGGAACTTGTTACCCTCTGCATTTGGACACAAGCCTTATCTCCCAAAACAGCTTGATGGGAGGATCCTGGCTTCCTATCTGCAGCCGACAGGTCTCCCACTGTGCCCTACTTATAGCAAGGGGCTCAGTACGTTTCAACCGAAGGAACAAATAAACAACACTCAAATACGCAGGCAAATAGCACCCGGGCTCAGAATTCGCACCATTTCTTCATGGTCAATGAAAATGACCTATCTGCCTGGTGGCTCTGGTAACATGAAGGCTGATTTTGGAAACAGATTACCTGGGTTCAAACCCCAGCCCTACCACATACTACCTGTATGACCACAGTGAACAAACCACCTTATCCATCCATGCCTCAGTTTCCTCATCTGTAACATGGGGTAAAAATATACCTACCTGGAGAGTTAAGTGAATACTTAGAAAAGTACTTGTAACATAGTAAGTACTCAATAAAAAGTCTTTATCGTCACCTGGTCATTCCCACTCAGGACTCTCACCCCTTGAGAAGGCACACATACGCCTCTGCGACCCAGTGACCTACAAAATGGCACCTCGGGCCCAAGGTGCAGAATAATTTCCTATAAGCTGTTCGGCAGGGGAGCCTTCAATAACTCCCTGTCTTAAAAAGAACCTGGCAGGTCCTCGTCTTGTTCTATAGATCTCCAGCTCGTACAGTTTCTGCCTCTGAAGTGGGAACTCCTGAAGGGCAGAGACCACACATGCAGCACTACACAGCTGTTACCACGCAAGGCTCAGAGCACTGGCATGGCTCAAAATCACGTGAGGTTTTCCCAGAAATCTTCTGAGAGGTTAGGCACCCTGCCCTCAAGTGCATGGCCAGCGCTCAGACTCCGCCTGTGTGGCTGGTGGGCTATGGGCTTTTCTATGGCACCCACCCTCCCCCCCGCATCTTTAACTCCTGGTGCAGAGCAGGCACTCAACAAACATATGCTGGATGAATGGATAGAACCCAGTGGCATCTTCAGGGAAGCCTTCTAGTATTTTCTCTATTTGGGATTTCTGACTGGCTCCCTCTCTCACTGACCCTTCTAAGCCTTCCGAGAGCAGCCGATAATGCTTCTGCTCCTTCAGGAAACCACGCACCCGATGCCCCGCTTGAGGAAGTCACCCTGTGTGACCACACACCGGGGTCTACTCCCAACCCTCTTCCCACTTTCCCTTTCTTAGAAAGAGGTAATGGAGACTCCAAAACACTCTGGGGGGGGGCAGTATTTAAATGGACTTTATTTTCAATAATTTTTTACTCATTGAAAGATGCACATATTAATTGTATAAACTTAGGCAACTGCAGTAGTACATAAAAAAGAAGATTTAAAATGGAGGATTTTTTTGCTCTTTATTCAAGTTCTTCTTCAGTGTGAAATGGCCCTTACAGTAAAAAAATGAAAAGAACCCAAGTGCTTAGACATTATGCCTTATGGGGAGAGATCTTTCCGATCCTGCCTTGTTCTCACTGAGCTTCTCAGGGTCTTGACAGCCATCTCAACGCTCTCTGCTCCCGTCCTAAATGGTGACGTGACCCTTGAGGTAAATACAGGGCACCAGAAAACACCCTGCTTTTCCCACAGGCCTGGAGCGGAAATGGGTGAAGTGCACCCAGGGTGGGTCATAGGAAAGTATGCAGAAAAAATATTGCATATTCCCCACAGAGGAGCACGTTTTTGAGGGCTTCTTACCTCTCTTTTCAGAACCCTTCCTTTTTTCTACAAGAAATGGTCCTGGTCACACACACCTAAACACAGGGACGAGCAAAAGTAAGGCCTGCCTGAGTGTGGTTGGTAGAGTAATAATGGGTACAAGAATTTATAGTTTAAATTTGAACATTTCACCTAAAATGTCATAATGGTGTGCTTGAGTGTGATGCTGTTATGTTACAGAATTACATGCTTATGATTTTGTAGCAAAAGAGTTTGTAATAAAAAAAAGAGGTGTTATTTGTGCGGTACCCTGCATATTCATTTTGCTTTGTAAGTTTCAAAAGGCATTTATGCTGCAAGAATATTAGACCTAAAATTATAATTTTCCCCTATGTTTTGGTTCTTAATATTTCTGCATTGGTTAATGAAAACACACCCACTCCATTACTTAACATACAGTGCAAAGGTAATACATATTTACTATGGAACATTTAGAAAATATTAAAAATACACAAGAAGGAATTGAAAAGCATAAGTAAATTCACCATCCTGCGAACCTGGCCCATGCTGGAGGCCTGACTCTCTGAATGTGGGTAAGTGGAGTGGGAAAGGGAATGTTCATAGTAGGGGATCACTGTGGACTCAGTCTCAAGTGCTCTGCATCTTGTCGTAACATTGATTCCCTAGAAACTGCTCACTGCCCCACCCCCCATCCTCTTACACACAAGCAACTAACCAACCAACCAATCAACTTATCAAACACCCCACCCACCCACCTGGCCAACCAACCACACTACCAACACACACCAACTCCACTCATGTGGCCATAGAGACCCATGTTGATCTCCGGCAGTCTGGATACCTGTATTCACAGGGTTAGACATAAAATCCAGACTGTCTAATCTAATTCTTTCTGGAAGACATTTCATAATTTGATTCAAGGAAAGAGATGTCCTTCTACTCTGATGACAAAGATAGAAAGATGAGCTCCCTGCAGCTGCTAGCACAATAGTTACAGGCTTATGGAGAAAGATGGTTTCAGAGCAAAGGAAAGACAAAAACTGAAGAGGCCTTGTTGTGTTCAAGTCCCTGGTCTGGCTGCCCCTGAGGGCAGCGACTTCCTGCCCTTGTCCAGTCTGGTTACATGAGCTCATACATTTCTCTTGGTCTGGGTTAGTTTGAGTTGGACATGTTCTCACTAGAACCAGGTGTCTTATTTAAACAAACACACCAATACTACATTTCAGGAGAGAAAATTATGAGAAGCATATTTATTTAGTCTAAATATATCTATTTTTTACTTGTTTAAGGAAAGTTTGGGACCTTGCCTTGTCCACACCTCGTATTGCCTCCTGAGGATCTGGCCAGAGAAGGAGGTGGCTTGCGCTCTGCCCCAGGTGACCAGTTAGCTTCCCCCAGCCCCAAAGCGCTGACAGCAGTCGGGACCTGTGCCCAGATGCTGCAAAATCGTGAGGCCAAGCCCAGGCTCTGTTACTCCTGCCATCTCTCCAGAGCTGGGTTCCCCCCTTAACAGGAAGGATGGACTCCACTCTGACAAAGAGCAGGTGTTGGTTATCCAGAGTCCTCCCCCCATTTCCACCTAAAGGCCAGGCAGACCCCCATTCCCTGTGCCTCCAGCGGCCATCAAGGCGGGCTTTGGACAGCTCAGTGCCACTGGGGAAATCACCAGAACCCTCCTCACCTCACTGCCAACACTCCCTAGTCTGTTCCTGTCTAACTCCTGCTTCTACTCTGTGTACTATCTCAGATGTTACTCCTCTCCTGCCCTTGGGTCTTCACAACTAATCTTGATTTCTCCTGTTTTAGCAGAGAACTCCCTATAAACGTTTTTTCATATTCTCACCATGCCCTCCAGCCCATTGGACTCTCCTTGCTCAAGCTCCAGCCCCACCCAGAAAACAAATCTTGACATTAATTCATGTGGCTGTGCCCCCAGATCTATCTACCCCTGAAGGCAGAAAGTTGGGCGTTAGGGAGGATGGA